GTGTGTGTGCGTGCGCGCGCGTGTGTGTGCGTGCGTTGTGGTTGGTGGTAGTAGTGGTGGGCGTAGCTGTGGTTGGTGGTGATGGTGGTACTTCTGGTTGGTGGGGTCGATGATGGTGGGAGTAGTAGCGGTTGGTGGTAGGTGGAGTTATGGTGGTTGTGGTTGGTTAACAGTGGGCGGTGGCATGTGATGGTGAAGATGGTAGTCATGTTACTAAGTGTTGTTAGTCGTAAATGAAGACAACACAGTGACAAGGCATCTGCCTGGCAGTGAACAGTGGTGGATGGATGGACATCTACCTGGTGGTGGTTTGGTTTGGTTTGTTGTTTTACGCTGCACTCAGCAATATTCCAGCTATATGACGGCGGTCTGTAAATAATCGAGTCTGGACCAGACAATCCAGTGATTGATATCATGAGCATCGATCCATGCAATTGGGATCGATGACATGCATCAACCAAGTCAGCGAGCCTGACCACCCGATCACGTTAGTCGCCTTTTGCGACAAGCATAGTCGCCTTTTACAGCAAGCATGGGTTGCTGAAGACCTATACTACCCAGGATCTTCACGCTACCTGGTGGTGGAATGTGGGTATACAAGGATCAGCTTGAGAAGCAGTGTGAGACTGAGTCAACCAAGGGAGGTCACTCACAGTCTTCTCACTCATAACCTCTGTGCACCCATCAAAGGGGCTCTATCACAGAAAAAAACCAAAATAACACTATTCAATTCAAACCACTTGTGTCTAAAGTCACAAAACAAATATTGAAAAAATTAATTGATGTTTTTTCCTCAACCACTCTGATAAATTAGAAAATAAAAACATAAAACACATAAATCTCAAAACAGTAACTGTTAACATGGTTAACCTTTTTAAATAATAATTGATCAGGAGCATTGTATACAATGTATACAGTCTGTTACCCTACAAAAGGCTAAACAAGAGAGTAAAACCTTTTCTGACAGAAGTGAGTGAGTTGGGTTTAGCACTGCTTTTAACAGTATTCCAGTCATATCACGGCGTGTCAGCTTAATGTGGGAGGAAAGCCCGAAGTGATGCAGGTCTCAAGACGTTTACCACTTCGGTGAAACCCACAAGCATGGGTATGGTGCTGACAAACCTAGAAACATAATTGGGGCGAACCAGGATTCGAACCCACAATCATAGGTTTCTGGTGTGCCCAAGGGACGCAACTCTGCACAGCGAATCACGGCGCCTGAGACGACTGGGTCACCCATGCCCCCTCTGACAGAAGTAAATACATTTACATGTTACTGTAAACAAAGCAAGACATCCAGCACTTAATACAGTATTAACATGTCCCTTTTCCAATGACACTGAGCGACCCAAACAAACTTTAGCTACACCATATTTTGGATATTTTGTGTCTTCCTACCCAAGTTAATTGGTTCACACAAACATGTAGACCATTACATATACATACAAAGTGTGGCCTGGACAGTGTTTCAGTGGCCAAGGTGACCAGTCTCAAGTTGAAGGTCAACATCTGCATCCTCATCAATACTGTCTTGTATACACTAGATGCAGGAACAGGCGGATCCAGGATTTTGAAAAAGGGGGTAGCACATAATATTAAAGTTGGCCTTAGGCGCAGTTAACATGTAAGGTGGATCTGGATCCACTAGTGTACTCCTCTGGATCCACTAGTGTACTCCTCTGGATCCACTAGTGTACTCCTCTAGATCCACCTGTGTACTCCTCTAGATCCACCTGTGCATCCCTCTGGATCCACCTGTGTACTCCTCTGGATCCACCTGTGAACCCCTCTATATCCACCTGTGCACCCCTCTATATCCACCTGTGCACCCCTCTATATCCACCTGTGCACCCCTCTATATCCACCTGTGCACCCCTCTATATCCACCTGTGCACCCCTCTATATCCACCAGTGCACCCATCTAGATCCGCCAGTGAAGTGTATACAAGACAATAGAGATCGATCACAAGCCTGCATGTGTTCTTGTAACCCCATTACCTTAGAAAAGAACTCCCTCATTCCAGAATATTACCATATTCCTCACTCAACATTTTTATACACAAAATGATATGCAAAATATACATAATAAACAAAGAAACAAGTTACCAAAAACATGCAACTGGCAGAAACTGCACTGGTCATTTTCAGTTCCTACAAAAACAGAAATTACAACCTTTGACAAGTTGGATAATTAGAAAGCAAATAGGATCAATATATGACATACATTCATTGTGTTGTGTATGTGAAAACAGAGAAATTAACTGCATGTTAAGTGTAACTGAAACAAAATATTTTTTGTATTTGTTCGTTTGTTGTTTGACACTGCACTCAGCAATATTCCAGCTGTATGACAGCGGTCTGTAATTAGTCGAGTCTGGGCCAGACAATCCAGTGATTAATATCATAAGCATTGATCTTCCCACTTGGGATACGATGACATGCATCAACTAAGTCAGAGAGCCGGAACACCTGATCAAACATAGGTTGCTGAAGTCCTATTGTACCCCGGATCTTCACGTCTCTATATTTTGAGTACACAAGAGAACACTAAAAAATAACGCCACTAGTCCTGAATTTACTGACCTTGAAACAGTTCATTTGTCTACTCTTCATAGCACTCTTTCTTCCCTCGTTAGGGACTTAAAGGCAATGAAAATACTGATAATATTTTTCATATTTTACATTTGTTTTAATCTCAGGGATAAAAAAATCCACAAACAACATCATTTTCCCTGTAAGAAGTCCCTCAAACATTAGATCATCATAAATTAATTAATAGATTGTCTTCTTTGTCTCACTACCAAACAGCCCACCTCACATCATTTTGTTGTCTCTTAGCACCAACAAAAACAACTGCTCTTTGAATCGTCTTCTTTTCACTTGTAAGACCCGGGTTCAATTTCCGACATGGGTACAATATGTGAAGCCCATTTCTGGAGTCCCCCGCCGTGATATTGCTGGAATATTGCTAAAATCGGCGTAAAACAATATTCACTCACACTTGTAAAACAGTACATACAGAGTCCTACCAAACATTCATGCTTTATATGAATCACATCCATAATAGATAATAACACAGATATCTAAAGACAGTTTGTTTGAAGAAAATAAATAATACAAAAAGTTGTGGATACATTAAGACCCCAAAAAATATCTCTAGTTAGGGACAAAGAAAGAAGTTTTTCTAACCGGGAAATCAAAACCACAATGCAAATTTTTTTTTTTGTTGGAGCACAGATTTTTCATAAGTTGTCTGAGTGAAAAAACTTTTTTTCCCAAAAACATGAAAAAAAATCACAAAATAGTTTTTGGTGTGAAATGTTTTATATAACGCTGCACTCAGCAAAATTCCAGCCAAATGATGGCGATCTGTAAATAATCAAAGACCAGACAATTCAGTGATTGATATTATGAGCAATGCTCCATTCCATTGAGGTTCGATGACATGCATTCAACCAAGTCATTGAGTCTGATCACTTAAGTTGTCTTTTACGACAAACACAGGTTGACTAAAATTCCCACTGGGGAAGAAGAAAAAGTGAACTGTGAAAATCTAATAAAGTGAGTTTAACGTTGCTATCAACAGTATTTATATTTTGGCTTGACCTTTCAGCCAAAAGTAGGAGCAATTCACATGATCAGTCATTTACAAAGAGATGGATGACATATTTACTTTTCAAAAGAAGTTAAAGAACACCCAATTTTTTCACTCTACTGAAGTTAATCAAACATCATCAAGGCATATAACTATTGTAATATGAGATTGAGTGAGTGAGTGAGTTGGGTTTAACGCCGCTTTTAACAATATTCCAGTTATATCGCAGGGTGTCAGCTTAATGTGGGAGGAAAGCCCGAAGTTATGCAGGTCTCAGACGTTTACCACTTCGGTGAAACCCACGAGCACGGGTATGGTGCTGACAAGCCTAGAAACATAATCGGAGCGAACCGGTGTAATATGAGAGAATAGGGTGTTCTTAAATTCTTTTGAGTAGAATAGTTCATATACAAGCTTATTTACAAAGTATATCAAGGTCATTCTTCATGGCAAGTAAAGGAGACAGTAATTCTCCAAGTTCATAGGTTAGTCTCCCAAATAATCTTGTGCCAATGATTTTATTGTAACAAATTATATGCTTGAAAAAGATTGCAACATGCTGCATTGTTAATAAATACAAATCACCAAAAAGGGTCACAATTCTTAATACATCTGTCAAAATGTATGGCAGGTTTCTGTTTGTTTGTTGTTTTTAACAGTGATTGACATCATGAGCATCGATCCATGCAATTGGGATACGATGACATGCATCAACTAAGTCAGGTTTCTATGTAATCAACATGATCAAGATTAAATAAAAATGAACGTGGCCTTACCATAACCTCCTAAAACGCTGTACACCCAAAACAATTGAATACATATACAAATGATTGTAGGATTGATGAGGTGGCGAGGTGAAATTGGGTTTAACGTCGCGTCCAAGATTATTGCACTTATACAGCACGTGTGTGTGTGTGTGTGGGGGGGGGGGGGGGGGGCTGCTTGTACTAGACCGGACTGATCCTGATTTATAGTCAGTGTTCGAAATACCTGCCTGCCCGACTGTCCGAGACGGGTTGATTTCAACTTGGGCTGCCAGAATTTCAAATCCCCCTGCCCGACGGTCGGGTTATATTTCATATGTGAAAATATTCTAAATATTTCCCGATGATAAGCATTAATTCACATGTAAAGATGAATGATGAAATGTAACCAAAAAGAAACCCCGTTAGTTTATCCTGAGAAACATATGATTATAGTGGGCAGGCAGGTTTTGGTCAGGGCTGGCAAGTATTTCAGCTAGCCAGTCCTGTGGTCTGGCTGAAATTTTTGGGAGTTTCATACCCTGTTATAGTGCTTGCTCATTGAGATACCATGCTGCAGTTTAACATGAATACCCCACTCAGACACAGTATTCTGACTCAGAGCCGACCAGTCCTTGCTTTAAACCCTTAATGCAGAGCGCCAGACAGGGTAACAACAAGTACCATCTTTTAACGTATTTTGGTATGACGCGGCCGGGGATCGAACCTCGGACCTTCCGCTCTCCGGGCGGACGCTCTACCACTAGACCACGGAGGCGGTGTAGGATTGATGAAGACATGATGAGAAGCTAAAACTGTGAATGAGTTCTCCCTGCAGCATGCTGCAGTGTACATCATCATGGTTATAAACAGAAGGCAAGAATCCTCAAAAATTTGGTTCACAAGGCCACCAACTCAAAAAAACAAACTTTCTTAAACATGAAAGCAGTGATTTTCTTCCTTACTTCCAACAAAAGTAAACAAAATTTAAAAAGCACCCCTCATTTACAGTCACTATCAAAATAAATTATTTACAATACTATAATTAAAAACTATCAATATTTTATGTTAAAAACTCCTGCCCCCATTTATTCCCCCCTACTTCACATTTGGAGGAAAAAAATACAGTAGAACACGGATATAACGAACACGGATAGATACAACGAAATGTTACAAAATCGCCGATTTATCTCCTCTGTATTGTCACATATAAATGTGCATATGTAACGAACTCTCTACAGCGAACTAACGTATATAGCAAACTGATATCTGATCCCCGACAAGCCCAAATACCACTAATTAGTGACGTGTATAGCGAAATGAGAAATCTCACTCAGTGTCAAGTGTCACTAACAATTGACTATACGCAATCAGCGGCGAATGAACACAATCAGCGGTGACGATTCAAACTTGTTGAACTTGCTTTATGCTTATCTTACTGGATGCTGGACTAATCGTGTCTGTAGGACAAACATAAATTTCATGAGATGATGTCAAAGTGTCACTTCACTTGCACACGCTAACATGGCGGGCAATGCTGCATGCTGTATTGTGTTTGTTTGATCTAAGATGGCAGTTGTTTCCTCGCGAAAACGTATATAACGAACAATGTATATAACAAACTAATTTCTCCGGTCCCTTGTAGTTCGTTATATCCATGTTCTACTGTAAATATATTTGAAATAGGATTGTTTTTTGGGGTGGTTTTTTTTCACCTACCGACCTGACTTTTTGGGGCAAATATCCTTAAACGGAAAAAAGAAAAGAAGAAAAAGCGTCTGGCCTAATGCATAAACTAAATACCAACCAGCAAATACTCCAGGCATTAATACAAAGTTGGCAATTACAAATGTAATCCAGCTTATATGATCAAGAAGAAAGCAACTTCATCACACTTTGAAAAAATAATAATCTGAATTATGTTGTTTAATATGCTTCTGAATTGTAAATATTTCATACTTTTTTCCAATTTGTTCAAGGGCAGTGGGGTAGAATTGGAGTATTAGCTCATTGTATTCAAGATTCTGGTTTGACGCCTGAAAGGTACAAGAGGTTAAGCCCATTTTGATGGCCACTGCTGTCACATTGCATGGGAGTGAGTGAGTATGGTTTTACGCCGCTTTTAACAGTATTCCAGTTATATCCCGGCATGTCAGCTTAATGTGGGTGGAAAGCCCCAAGTGATGTAGGTCTCAGATGTTTACCACTTCGGTGAAACCAACGAGCACGGGTATGGTGCTGACAAACCTAGAAACATAATCGGGGCGAACCGGGATTCGAACCCACAATCATAGGTTTCTGGCGTGCCAAAGGGACGCAACTCTGCACAGCGAATCTCGGCGCCTTAGACGTCAGGGCCACCCGTGTCCCCGACAACCAGAAAGAAGTGCACATTGCATGGATGAAGATCCAATACGCCAACAAACTGAGCTGCTGGACCAACCTACAGTTGGAACTATTTTCTGTCTTGTATGTGAACCCTGTTAGAAGGGGTTTGGTTAGAGCACTCAGGGACCGGTCATTTATTACAGGTTGGGGTGGGTCAGAGGGAACCAGGGGAGGGTCACCCCAAAATATGGGGGTGCTAGTGCTGGTGCTGGCCCATTGAGATACCATGCCGCAGTTTAACAGTATACTCACTCTGAGCTGACCAGTCCCTGTTTTAGCCCCTTAATGCCGAGTGCCAGGCAGGGTAACAACAAGTACCATCTTTTAACAGACAGGAATTAGGTCAAAGTTCCCAACACATGTAGACCAAAATACTCAATAATTCTTTCATAGAAATGTAGTGCACATTCATAACTAATGTCAATATGACAAAGATGCACATCGACATGGTTGAGTATGGGCACATCTTTAGCCACCATTGCTCAGATCAGCAATTCAAAGGTTCAGCATCATTGACATTGTGGTTTGGGAGACTTCAAAAGCTAAACTATAAAAGGCAGCCTGACAAGAGAAAGCTGAAATAAGCTCACACAAGACCATTCAGTTCTATCATCCCAACCAGATCCCCTTTCTTGTCACCATCAACAAACAATCATTGTCATCCTCACTGAACACAATACATTGCCTATAGACATGATAGAGCTGGAATCACACATTTTCTCTATGTTGTTGTGTATAATGATTCAAACAACCAGGCAACTTCAACATGACCTACGTTAGCACTTTCAAACTGTTTAATGTGTTGTTGGCATCTCACAGGCCTGAGCATAAGTCTTACCATTAAATAGGGAGAGATTTTCCTTCTGAACAAACTCAACAAAATATTTCAATTTACAAAACCCACTCTTAGCCTGACCCTTGCAGAAGCTGACCCTTGAGGTGACGTCTTCACCATTCATCAAAATACGGAGAAAGTGATGCTTTTTCGGCTCTTCTCTTGAATACAACTCAAATGCAATTCTCGTTGCATACTTTGGCCATCGTCCATGTCCAATTCCTAACGCAGTGGCCAAAGGACTGACCGTTGTGTCGTGGCCAGAGTACAGAACAAACTTCACCTTCGCCTTCTTCTTGGTGGTGAGAACCATGTGTTGTTTAATCTCATACAACAATGGATGAATACCCAGACGAGCATATTTTTGATAGGAATCTAATTCATCTAGTTTGGCACCATGCAAGTCAAGCTGATGCCACAGTTCTGCTAGAAATGAGGGTTCTATGCAGTCATTGTTTTTGTTGCAAGGGAGAGATATCTTATGACAAGCATATGCCATGAGGGTGTCTATCATTGACCATAGCCATGGCAACTCCTGTCTCTTTATATTATAGACATTAGCAATGTATTGTCGGACCCGCTTCAAATCCGTGTTGTTCCTATCATAGGCCCCTGCCTCTCCATCACTCATCTTTTTGTAATGCTTCAGCACAGGACATGAACAGGAATGTCCAAACGATTTCTCTGAACAAAAAAACAAATTATCAGACCGAAAGATGTTCAAATCGGTCAAATTCAAAGCAGGGAGGAATGTGTAGAGAAGAGCTATCGCGCTTTGGTATGTTCGACTGTAACCCGTGCTTTTCACATACACCTGGCTGGGGCTGAAGGGCTCCGAGAACAGCCGCCATTTTTGGACGTAGCGCTCGTGAAGGTGCCAGCCAGTCAGCAGATGCTGCAGGGAGCCCTGTCCGGTGAGTTCTGAGCTCTCACATGTCTGGGAGCGGGGGTACAGGTGGAAAGGGAAGGTGTTTCCGGGATGGAGATGAGATTGGTAATACTGCATCGTTGAGGCAAATTTGTCAAAATTGGGGATGTCAAATTTTTTGGATGAGTCATGTTGGCAGCTGAGAATTGGATTTGGTGAGTTCTTGAAGCTGCCCATCGGGGATCGGTCTCCGTGTCGTACAATGAGATACACAGACTTGAGGGAGTAGCCTGGAGGAGCTTCACCTGGGGATGAAACAGTAAGGCGTGAGTTAACATCACAGGGATCTATCTTGACCTGCTAGAGGCCCCAAGTCTGCAGCAAGTGTCAGTAAAAATGAAATATTTCCTAGTTCATGCTGTTAAACTATAACTCTTGTTACAGCTTTATACATGTTGTCGAGGTGATTTACAGTATTTGGAAACGAAAAGTCTAGATTGACAAGTTAAATGGGAAATTTACAGTTTATAACTGAACATTTTTGAGAGAATAATAAACGGCAAGAAGTTATATTAACTCCATAAACAACCATCTGTCATTTATTTGCCTTGTCAATGTGGAACAAACGTAAAAATGACGTCAACAGTACGTCAACAGTCTGGTAAGGGCTTGACAGGATAAAGGGAGACAATTTAAGGGGAGGCAACTCTTGTATGATAATAGTTCTGTATATCAGGAGTCACTGCAAATATCACTTTTCTCAACTTCAGAAAAGTCAGTCTATCACACTATCTATCAAGTACATACCGTATTCGACGTAATAAGCGCCCAGGGCGCTCTCAAAATTAGAAATAGGGGTCTCTTATTAGAATATTATTTCGGTGAAAAAAACAGAGCTGCAAAATCGTAAATTTCGTGGTTTATGCTGACAGCCTGAAATGTTGACATACGATAGATAATCGGAAGGGGTGCTGATTGGGATTGTTCACTAGCCAATATATTAGCAAATATCGCCATGGGCGCTTATAAGAGCGGGGCGCTTATTACGTCGATACGGTAAGAAATAGTTTTATCAGCGTTGAAATGTAAAAGTTACACTATAGTTGCCGCTGCAAAGATTACAGGGCATTATTCAGAATCATAAACAGATAATGTTGCCATCACAGTGTGAATATTTTTAATCATTGCATTTCAGTTCATTGTGCAGTCTGCACATGTCAAACGTGTAGTTTGTAAATATTTTACATTGTGGTGGGTTACTGAATGGGCTGAAGTTTTTATTCTGTTTTTCAGCTACAATTGTCATATTAGTTCTTTGGAATGATGAATTCTGTGATTTTCTTTCTGAAAATCTCTTTGAAGTTTGAAGTTTTAAGGTTTAAGTTTATTGTTGCATGTGTAGGGGTGAACTGATGGCTCAGTTGGCTGAGAAGCCACAATTCTCTGTGCAGAAACCTATAGTGGCTTTCAATCGCTGTTAGCCCTGGTAATGTTTCTAGGTTTGACATCCCAGTAGCTATACTTGTTGGTTTCACTAAAGTGAGTGAGTGAGTATGTTTTTTATGCCGCTTTTAGCAATATTCCAGCAATATCACAGCGGGGCACACCAGAAATGGGCTTCACACATTGTACCCATGTGGGGAATCGAACCTGGGTCTTTGGCGTGTTGGGCGAACGCTTTAACCACTAGGCTACCCGACCGCCCCGTTTCACCAAAGCAGTACATGTCTAAGACCTGCACCGCTGTGAGCTTACCTCCCACATCAAGATTACATGCTGTTTTTTTCTATATATAGAATATTGTTCTAATATTGTTCAAGGTGGCGTTAAACTAAACTCACTCACACCCACACTTGAAGCCCACCTGTCTGAAACGGATACTTACCCTCCCGTCCCCGGACTTCCCTCACAGGTATATTACAATATTCGGCTATCCGCGGCACAGCAAGAGGATTCGTCACTCCCATGAACTCATCCAGTCTCTGAGACCTGTGCTTTGGACTGTGGACTTTAGCTACTTGTCTCCCCTTGTCTCCCTTCCTCTTGTCCGGCCACGACATCTTCTCCAACAGCTTGGATTTCTTCCCCTTGGATGGTGTCTTCTCTCGCACCACATTACTGTTCATGATTCTCACATCAAAGTTTTTGTTCCTTATACTCTTAATGCCTTCAACATTGCCTTCTTGTGCATGGTGGAACAGAAGTGCTTGGTCGGAATCGGCGGACTCAAGTTTCTCCATCAGGGGTGTCATGCCTTCCTCCAACTGGCGCTGCCGAGCTCGCAACTTCACCAACTGGCCTTGCTTCATACCAGGAAGGCCTGGGGAATCCAGACTGAGGGAATCTGAAATAAATTTACAAAAATCGAAATATTTTTTCCTTCGTACACTTATCCTGTATTACTCCTTCATGGATTTACTGCTTACTTTTGACAGCAAATGAAGCTGCAGGGGTCCAGCAGAGTTGTTTCACTGAAGTGTGAGGCAGGACCGAGCTACAAGCTCCTCACAGCGATAGTCCGTTCGGAGAGCTCTCTATACTATCACTGCCACCAGTCAAAACTCCCCACTCTGATAGGTGGCCCCAACCATGCTTTGAGTTGAACTCGCAACCGAATGACCGTTATGTTTACAAATAAGTGACGACTGTCGTGACGCCGAATACACTTACCGCTGATAAATTACTATCTTTGCTTGTCAATTTGAATTTCTATTTCATTAAAACTATCATCTTTAATTCATATAGTAAGAATGTAAGGGAGAAGTTGGTTGATTTTCCGTAAGTCTGCAATCTCGAACTAATCTGATTATTAAAACAACAAATTCATCAGGAAAACATGGTCAGTCGTAAACCTTTTCAAAATGAAATATCATGGCATTCTCAAAGCATAAATGTTATTATAATATTAGGTTAGAGGGCAAATTTCAAGATTCACTGAAATAATGTTTACTGTTGTGGTCATCAGTATGGGTAACTGAAATAATGTTTACTGTGGTAGTCACCAGTATGGGTTACTGAAATAATGTTTACTGTTGTGGTCACCAGTATGGGTAACTGAAATAATGTTTACTGTGGTGGTCACCAGTATGGGTAACTGAAAAATTGTTTACTGTGGTGGTCCCCAGTATGGTTAACTGAAATAATGTTTACTGTGGTGGTCACCAGTATGAGTAACTGAAATAATGTTTACTGTTGTGGTCACCAGTATGGGTTACCGATATAATGTTTACTGTTATGGTCACCAGTATGGGTAACTGTTACAATGTTTACTGTGGTGGTCACCAGTATGGGTAACTGATATAATGTTTACTGTTGTGGTGACCAGTATGGGTAACTGATATAATGTTTACTGTGGTGGTCACCAGTATGGGTAACTGAATAATGTTTACTGTTGTGGTCACCAGTATGGGTAACTGAAATCATGTTTACTGTGGTGGTCACCAGTATGGGTAACTGTTACAATGTTTACTGTTGTGGTCACCAGTATGGGTAACTGAAAAAATGTTTACTGTTGTGGCCACCGGTTTGGGTTAATAATATAATGTTTACTGTTGTGGTCACCAGTATGGGTAACTAAAATAATGTTTACTGTTGTGGTCACCAGTATGGGTAACTGAAATAATGTTTACTGTTGTGGTCACCAGTATGGGTAACTGTTACAATGTTTAGTGTTGTGGTCACTAGTATGGGTAACTGAAATAATGTTTACTGTGGTGGTCACCAGTATGGGTAACTGAAATAATGTTTACTGTTGTGGTCACCAGTATGGGTAACTGTTATAATGTTTACTGTTGTGGTCACCAGTATGGGTAACTGAAGTAATGTTTACTGTTGTGGTCACCAGTATGGGTAACTGATATAATGTTTAATGTTGTGGTCACTAGTATGGGTAACTGTTACAATGTTTACTGTTGTGGTCACCAGTATGGGTAACTGTTACAATGTTTACTGTGGTGGTCACCAGTATGCTTACTGAAATAATGTTTACTGTTGTGGCTACCAGTATGGCTTAATGATATAATGTTTACTGTTGTGGTCACCAGTATGGGTAACTGAAATAATGTTTACTGTTGTGGTCACCAGTATGGGTAACTCAAATAATGTTTACTGTGGTGGTCACCAGTATGGGTAACTTCTACAATGTTTACTGTGGTGGTCACCAGTATGGGTAACTGTTACAATGTTTACTGTGGTGGTCACCAGTATGGGTAACTGTTACAATGTTTACTGTTGTGGTCACCAGTATGGGTAACTGTTACAATGTTTACTGTTGTGGTCACCAGTATGGGTAACTGAAGTAATGTTTACTGTTGTGGTCACCAGTATGGGTAACTGATATAATGTTTAATGTTGTGGTCACTAGTATGGGTAACTGTTACAATGTTTACTGTTGTGGTCACCAGTATGGGTAACTGTTACAATGTTTACTGTGGTGGTCACCAGTATGCTTACTGAAATAATGTTTACTGTTGTGGCCACCAGTATGGGTTAATGATATAATGTTTACTGTTGTGGTCACCAGTATGGGTAACTGTTACAATGTTTACTGTGGTGGTCACCAGTATGGGTAACTGTTACAATGTTTACTGTTGTGGTCACTAGTATGGGTAACTGTTACAATGTTTACTGTGGTGGTCACCAGTATGGGTAACTGTTACAATGTTTACTGTTGTGGTCACTAGTATGGGTAACTGTTACAATGTTTACTGTGGTGGTCACCAGTATGGGTAACTGTTACAATGTTTACTGTGGTGGTCACCAGTATGGGTAACTGTTACAATGTTTACTGTTGTGGTCACTAGTATGGGTAACTGTTACAATGTTTACTGTGGTGGTCACCAGTATGGGTAACTGTTACCATGTTTAGTGTTGTGGTCACCAGTATGGGTAACTGAAATAATGTTTACTGTTGTGGTCACCAGTATGGGTAACTCAAATAATGTTTACTGTGGTGGTCACCAGTATGGGTAACTGTTATAATGTTTACTGTTGTGGTCACCAGTATGGGTAACTGATATAATGTTTAATGTTGTGGTCACTAGTATGGGTAACTGTTACAATGTTTACTGTTGTGGTCACCAGTATGGGTAACTGTTACAATGTTTACTGTGGTGGTCACCAGTATGCTTACTGAAATAATGTTTACTGTTGTGGCCACCAGTATGGGTTAATGATATAATGTTTACTGTTGTGGTCACCAGTATGGGTAACTGAAATAATGTTTACTGTTGTGGTCACCAGTATGGGTAACTCAAATAATGTTTACTGTGGTGGTCACCAGTATGGGTAACTTCTACAATGTTTACTGTGGTGGTCACCAGTATGGGTAACTGTTACAATGTTTACTGTGGTGGTCACCAGTATGGGTAACTGTTACAATGTTTACTGTTGTGGTCACCAGTATGGGTAACTGTTACAATGTTTACTGTTGTGGTCACCAGTATGGGTAACTGAAGTAATGTTTACAGTTGTGGTCACCAGTATGGGTAACTGATATAATGTTTAATGTTGTGGTCACTAGTATGGGTAACTGTTACAATGTTTACTGTTGTGGTCACCAGTATGGGTAACTGTTACAATGTTTACTGTGGTGGTCACCAGTATGCTTACTGAAATAATGTTTACTGTTGTGGCCACCAGTATGGGTTAATGATATAATGTTTACTGTTGTGGTCACCAGTATGGGTAACTGTTACAATGTTTACTGTGGTGGTCACCAGTATGGGTAACTGTTACAATGTTTACTGTTGTGGTGACTAGTATGGGTAACTGTTACAATGTTTACTGTGGTGGTCACCAGTATGGGTAACTGTTACAATGTTTACTGTTGTGGTCACTAGTATGGGTAACTGTTACAATGTTTACTGTGGTGGTCACCAGTATGGGTAACTGTTACAATGTTTACTGTGGTGGTCACCAGTATGGGTAACTGTTACAATGTTTACTGTTGTGGTCACTAGTATGGGTAACTGTTACAATGTTTACTGTGGTGGTCACCAGTATGGGTAACTGTTACCATGTTTAGTGTTGTGGTCACCAGTATGGGTAACTGAAATAATGTTTACTGTTGTGGTCACCAGTATGGGTAACTCAAATAATGTTTACTGTGGTGGTCACCAGTATGGGTAACTTCTACAATGTTTACTGTGGTGGTCACCAGTATGGGTAACTGTTACAATGTTTACTGTGGTGGTCACCAGTATGGGTAACTGTTACAATGTTTACTGTTGTGGTCACCAGTATGGGTAACTGTTACAATGTTTACTGTGGTGGTCACCAGTATGGGTAACTGTTAAAATCTTTACTGTTGTGGTCACCAGTATGGGTAACTGAAATAATGTTTACTGTGGTGGTCACCAGTATTGGTAACTGTTACAATGTTTACTGTGGTGGTCACTAGTATGGGTAACTGTTACAATGTTTACTGTTGTGGTCACCAGTATGGGTAACTGAAAAAATGTTTACTGTGGTGGTCACCACTATGGGTAACTGTTACAATGTTTACTGTGGTGGTCACCAGTATGGGTAACTGATAAAATGTTTACTGTGGTGGTCACCAGTATGGGTAACTGATATAATGTCTACTGTTATGGTCACCAGCATGGGTAACTGTTACAATGTTTACTGTTGTGGTCACCAGTATGGGTAACTCAAATAATGTTTACTGTGGTGGTCACAAGTATGGGTAACTGTTACAATGTTTACTGTGGTGGTCACCAGTATGGGTAACTGTTACAATGTTTACTGTGGTGGTCACTAGTATGGGTAACTGTTACAATGTTTACTGTGGTGGTCACCAGTATGGGTAACTGATATAATGTTTACTGTTGTGGTCACCAGTATGGGTAACTGAAATAATGTTTACTGCGGTGGTCACCACTATGGGTAGCTGTTACAATGTTTTCTGTGGTGGTCACTAGTATGGGTAACTGTTACAATGTTTACTGTGGTGGTCACCAGTATGGGTAACTGATATAATGTTCAGTGTTGTGGTCACCAGTATGGGTAACTGAAGTAATGTTTACTGTGGTGGTCACCACTATGGGTAGCTGTTACAATGTTTTCTGTGGTGGTCACTAGTATGGGTAACTGTTACAATGTTTAGTGTTGTGGTCACCAGTATGGGTAACTGTTACAATGTTTCCTGTTGTGGTCACCAGTATGGGTAACTGTTACAATGTTTACTGTTGTGGTCACCAGTATGGGTAACTGATATAATGTCTACTGTTGTGGTCACCAGTATGGGTAACTGTTACAATGTTTACTGTGGTGGTCACTAGTATGGGTAACTGTTACAATGTTTACTGTTGTGGTCACCAGTATGATTACTGAAATAATGTTTAC